GAGACTGCCCAGCCCTTGCTACATCTAAGATTTCTGATTCTTTAAGGTCTAAAGTAGGGATGAACTTTTGTGTGTACAAAAATTCCCCAAGTGTACTGATTCTGCTGGTTAGAGGGCACTATGAAAGCAACTGTCCTACTATTCTAAATAAACAGAGAACAAAAAAAAGAGAAAAAGGAAAAAAACCACATTACTCTTAATTAATTCTAATCAGATTCAGAGTGAAGACAACGCTATAAAAAAAACCCTCCTTTTTTTAAGAAACAATAAGCTGAAAGTAAGAAAGAGTCTAGAAAATTGCAGAAAGCAATGTGTAGAAGGGCTAAATAACTATAACTGAATAGAGGAGTGTGCAAAAGAGTGAGGATTCTTGGGAAACACAAATGACCAAGAGCCAAAGATCAGGAGAGAAAACGAGTGCACGCAGGCTCAGCACTCTCTGAGGGCTTCTGCAGTGCGGACAAACACATCAGTGGAGAGAAAGTGTCCCAACAGAAAACACATCAGTGGAGAGAAGCGTCCCAACAGAAAACACATCAGTGGAGAGAAGCGTCCCAACAGAAAACACATCAGTGGAGAGAAGCGTCCCAACAGAAAACACATCAGTGGAGAGAAGCGTCCCAACAGAAAACACATCAGTGGAGAGAAGCGTCCTAACAGAAAACACTCAAGGCCAATTTCCAAGCGTGCAACACCTTCTACAGCCAACAACCTGACAAATACTTGTGAGAATTTTAAACTTTGAAAACCATAAAGAAAGCCTAAAAGCTTTGGGGGGGAGACAACACATGTTATTACAGAGTCCTCTGAACCAGAAAAGCATCAGGCGTTTTCATTAGTGTGTCAGAAGAAAACAGACTATTGCTTTCCAAGTTCAAAAAGTGATTTTGAGCCTTACATTCTACATCTTTGTTAAAATATCAAGTACACAGAACGGATAAAGCTCTTCAGAGACGAAAGAACTAGGAGAGCTGACTTCCTCGTGTGCTCACTGCCCCTTCTTTCCTAAGGAAGCCCCATGGGCATCACTGAGTGACAGCTGGGTGTGGGCAGAATGACACACTGCCTGGTTCCTTTCCGCTCCTCCTCATATGACACCTGGCTCTCCCCCCAACCTCAGGATTAACGTGAACTTACCAGGAAATCTAAAGTATCCTTCTATCTCAAGAACTTTACCTTAATTCTGCCAAGTCTCTTTTGCCATTAAAGGTGGGCTTCATGAAGAAGACGGAGATACTTTTAGTCACTGATCTGCCCACCAAACCACAGAAGAACTCAAGGGTGCATCCAGAGGGGAGGGGGAAGGACTCAAGAAAAAGGACAAGATGAGATGAGATGCAAGAAGGCATGTCCCCCACAAAGGAGCAGCCTGTAAAGAAATGGGTTTTTAATTGACTTGATGGTAGAATTTCCTTGAGGCAGGAGCACAACTTTAAAGAAACAGTGCAGGATTTTTTCCCTACTAGTCCAGTTAGGATACCTGGTTCCACAGTGAATGAAGTTTACAATAACCCTCACATTTTCAGAACCCAGGGCCAAAATCTTGCACATGAACATGCCTAGCTCTGCATTCTAGCAAATTCTGGATACCTTTCTCAGCAGAACACGTATATACATAGTGCATACTATTTTTCCATATGCGCTGTCCATAGGACACTAATACAGCATGACAGAAAATAAGTGAGAAGTACAGTCACAGCTAAACACAATAACAAATCTTACCTGTGCTTCATGTATATATATTTATACTTTATATATTCAAGTACTTATATATGTATCTCATATATAAATATGAAATATGCTAGGACATTTTAAAAAATAGTAAGTTGGAAATAAACCAAATTAAACATATATTTCATATATATGGAAAGGAAATTAAAACAGATATATATTACTAACTAATGACTTGCAGGATTACATACTATGTTCGGTGTTCATTTTCATTTTTACTTTTAATACCTAAAAGACAGATAATACCTATCATAAATGAGAATATTTAAGAGGTGTGTTCCTATCAACTATAGCTAAAATCAAAGATGAGGCATACCTTCTGGAGAGCATGTATATACCTTACATAGTATGTAAGACTGCAATATAAGACAGACACTGGAAGAACAGCAAAATGGTTCAGCCAGTAAAAGCCATACGAGCCTCACAGCCTGAGCTTGCTCCCAAAATGGTGAGGGTTATCTGTAACGCAGAACCCCCACTGCAAGATGGGAGGCAGAAGCAAGAAAATTCCAGAGTTGTAAGCGAGTCAGCCTGAAGTTGTAGCAGCATAGCATAAAAAACAAAAATAAAGGAGGCCCTGCCTCAAATACTAGGTGGAAGGGACCCAACTCCTAAAAGTCCTTTGACTTCCAAACCCACAGCATACATGTACCTGCACACGCATATACACATACACACATACAGTAATAGTAAACATAATTTAAAAATTAAAAGAAAGAATGGATACCATTATAATGGACTGGGGAGGTAGTTCAGTGGTAGAGCACCAGGCCTAGAATGCATGAAGCCCTAGGTTCAATTCCCCAGTCCCAGAAAATCTCATTGTAATAACTGGAAAGGGGCACCAACCTAAATATTTGAAAAATCATATGGAAACCTACCACTATAGAAGCTTCCTAAAATACAGAGAGAGAGAGAGAGAGAGAGAGAGAGAGAGAGAATTTAAATAGAGTTACCATATAATGAGGCGGTAATATCCCACATTGAGTAGTTGGCCAAACGTTTCCTACAGACACAAACAACACACACACACCTGCAAACATCACAGGCTATTGCCAAGGCTACTGGTTACTCTCCATTATGGGATGGCAAGGCCCTATTGCCAAAGACATTTACTTATGTCACTGAACAAGGAAAAATTGAGCTGATGCCAACTAGAAACTTCACCTCCCCTGACTAGTGTTCATGATGATGGAAAATACTTTGCACGCTATCAGTGAAGAAAAGTAATCATCAATTTCACCCAGCTATAAATGCTGAGACCTACTTCTGCCTGAAGCTATACCTGTAGTTACCAAACACTTTTTGATTGGATCTAACACACACTCCATGAGATGGAACCCATGCCTGGCCCTGCTAAAGTGACCAAGAACCTCAGACTACATAGGTCACAGGCCTAGAGGAAAGTCTAATACTATTATTCTGTTAAAAAAAAACGCAGCAATAAAATAACTCCTACTGATGCATTTTCTATACTATAGATCAATGCATCACTCGACCCTCATCAGAGCTTCTCCCTGCAATAGCTGGGAACTAGCACAGAGTCCCACAATTGGACAGTGTGCAGAAACTTAGAGACTTTGGAGCACTCAGCCATAAATGGGTGTCTTCATCCAACCCCTCCCTTAAGACTCAGGGATCCATATAGAAGAGGAGCCAGAGGTGGTAGATGACTCCAGGGAAATAGTATATTCCAGACGCAACAGGACTGACACATATATAAACTTAAAAGATCCTGGACAAGTTAGAACCAGACAGAACCCCAGCATGAAAAGACGAAGTGGACACAAAGTCCCACCCTGAACCAAGAAGCTGTCTGCAACTGGTACCTGTTTTCTTCAATGGAGTGTCACTGGCATGTCAATCACACACTCCATGCCCAAGAGTGGTCAGGAGTCACAAAGTAGACTCCATGCTTTGGTTTAGGTTTTTGTATGCTTTTTGCTTTGGTTTTTTTTGTTGCTGTTGTTGTTTCCTTGGGTTTTGTGTGTGTGTGAGAGTATGTGTGTATGTGTGTGTGTGTGTCTTAATTGGTTTTATTTTTTTAGTTCATTGTCGGTTTTGGCTTTGGTTGTTGTTGTTTTCCTGTTTTTGTTTTTGTTTTTATTTTTTTTCAAAGAGAACATGAAGTTCAGTAGATAGGGAGATGAAGAGGATCTGGGAGGAGTTGGGGGAAGGAAAAGAATATGATCGAAATTGCTTTTTAAAGTTTTTTCATAAAAAGTTCAAAATAAATCCCAAAGCTATTGTAGTGGGCTAGGGAGGTCAGTGATAAAGTGTCAACCCCACAGTGCCAATAAAAAAAACCAAATCCTATTGCCCTTTAATTAAAGTAAGTGGGGAAAGCAGGAAGCAATCTACAGATTCACTCACAAGAAGTGTTCAACCTTGAAAGCAGCAGCCACAGAATGAGGTACGGGGCTGTGGCTCGGCCATTAGGAGAAACTGCTGCTCTTGCGGGGGACCTACGTGCTGTTTCCAGAGCCAACATGGCAGCTCACAACTGCATGCAACTCCAATTCCAGGGCTCTGGCCTCCTCAGCCTTCTGCACACACATCATGACATAAATTCATGCAAACACACAAATAAATAAATAAATCTTGAAAAAAGAATGGAGGCTATCACAAAAAGATGCGTGCACGTGTGGGTTTAATTTGTATATGAAGAGATGAAAAGCTGAGTAAATATACACAAAGCTATCCTACAGTTAATCCTATGGGACAAAGGGGAGAATGGACAATCTTTCAGTCTTACATTATACACATACTCTATTCAAAATGTGCCCCAAAGGATTAACACTACTTTTAGAGTATCTTTTAACTTTTTTAAAAAAATAAGTTGAAACTAATTTCTGCCTGAACCAGGCAGGCATGGGAGCCTTGGAAACTAAAGCAAAAGGATTCTGAGCTAGCCTGGGCTACAAAGTTAAGGTCTAGACATTGCTGGGATTCATATTATAGAGCTAGCCTCCAAAAAAAAAAAAAAAAGAGTCGAACCCAGAATATTACTAGCACACATATGGACTGTAACAGTAAATTTTCATTTAAAAAATGGCCTCTGTGCAAGGAATTGAAGGTTTATCATGGGATACATGGCCAACACTTAATTACACCACTGTTACCAAATGAAGAGGTATTAATGGCATCATTTTTAGTGCCTTAAAAACGTGCAACTGACTGAAACCAGACTATACGGCTTCGGGCAACAACACTTCTCACTGCCTTAAAAACACTGTAACGCATCAGTATTCTCATTGATGAATACCTACCGAGTCGTTCGCTGCCAATGCAAGAGCAAGGTTCACTGCAAGAAACAGAGGGAATTCAGTTTAGTAACTTCCCTTCTCTGCAAATTAACTCACTGGTAAAAGAGCAAGGATGCGTCCCATTTCCTTTTGAAAATAAACGCTGTTTATAGGCATCTGAGTACCTAAGTCACACATTCACAAGCACACAGAAAGCTGGGACACTGTGCACAGAAGGACATGGGGAAGATAGATGGTGAGGGGTAAAGAATGGTAGCCAAAATGCCTATGCCCTAGAGACAAGGAGGAGGAAAGTGGTATCCCCAAAACCACAGCTAGCCAGCTCTGCAGGCCGGCTACAGCTGAGACAGAGACTAACATACTGTATTTGTGAGACTGATAAATGAATAGGTTCTCATCCTGCCCATTTTCCATAGTGTGAATCCCATTTCCTTATAGAACAATGCTGTCAACTCTATACAGAAGTAGTTGGAAGCATAAATGGCAAAGCAGACCTAACTCTGAACCCAGCCTCCTATCATTGTATAACCCTGACTGTTATTTTATGTCAGTCTGCTCCTTCCATTACAACCTAAAGGTACCTCCTCCTCTTGTATCTGTTGTGAGAATTCAAAGAATACTGTATACAAGGTATTTCATCTAAAGCATGGGACTTATAAATGTCTACTTTATATGTTACAAGATAATTTTGAATTCCAGATATATAATAAGTTAAGCATCATCTAACTTCTAAGCAGAAACTTTTGTTAGGGGAACTCCTCAGGCTGCTGAGGTTGACAGCACAGAGCTGGAACCTTCAAAATACATAATATTTACTTGCCAATATAACTCCATAAGGCTGAAGAAAATAAATGACTTATAATGGGTAGCCCTGCAACAAGTTTCTCGCATTATTGTTCCTTCTAATCTCTTTAAAAATAAAAGATTCTGTTTAGAAATAACCTTAAGTCTTGAGTGTTAATACTGTTTTAGAACCCATGACCTTTGGTGCTAAATTACCATCTTTGTGAGAAACCTACAATCATGGAAAAGGGCACGAAGAAGACGCTCCAGCCTACTATATTAATGAAGAGGGTATGAAGACTAAGTGGCTAGGTGGTGGCTCTAAGTAGGTGTAGAGCTTGCAGCAAGAGCACGAGGGCCTGAGTGGAACCACAGCACTGGAAGAACAAGGGGAGAGACAGGCAGATCCAAAGAGCTCAAGGCCCAGTCAGGCACTGAAAAGAACAATAAAGACACCCAATGTTAGCCTCTGCATCCGCACACATGTACCTGAAGGCAGGAACACACACACACACACACACACACACACACACACACACACACACACACACACACCCCAAAACACTAGATAATGGGTACAAAAAACAAACGTAAACAATGTTAAACCTTATCAAGCTTTTTCAAAGATTATTAGCTTTTGGTGACTTTATGAATGATGCAAATGATATAATTAAGTGAAAAAATGGTCACAATCACAAATATTCTAATTGCAAATATACAGTTACACATACACTTATAGACTGTAAAAGAGCAGAAATAATTTAGTATACAATTACTAAATGTCTTTAAAGTAACAGCAACCAATTACTGAGCACTTCTATGAAAAGACAATGGGCCAAGTGGTTAGTTTAATTTGCTTATCATCCTATGAAAGAGATTATCTCCACTTGCCAGTTAAGTGAACAAAATATCTTGTCTACTACTGCTGCTTTTTGCTCAGTTGAGTATACAATCTGGTAATGTGTTTAGTTTGGCTGCCACCCATTATCAAATCCGAATACTAGGGAACCACAAGTCAGAAACATCAAATACTAAACTTGAAAGTGATCATTTACAGTGCATTTGACAATTGGCACAACTTCTTAGTCAAGAGGGAAACGAAGGCCTTACAATACCTGCTGTGGTAGACTTTCCAACTCCACCCTTTCCAGAGGCCACAACAATAACTTCTCTAACACCTTCTATGGGTTTCTGCTTAGGAAGTCCTCGGGACATGATTTGTGCTCTTCTTTGTTTCAAGGACTCACCCTCAGCGCCTAATAACTTTAAAAAAAATTTTTAATCATTCACCCTCGTTACTGGATTACTATTCTGTAGAAGTAAAAACGACCCAGAGTTTTACTTTAACGGGGCTTTGCTTTTCTAATTCAGTTCATCGCCACTGAGTTAGCTTTTAGGTGCTATTTATCGACTGTTAATCTCAACTGCAAAGATAAACTGCTGGAACTGAAATTCGTCTGCCAGGGTGAGGATGTTAAAAAAACGCCAAGTGGCCTTTTGGCCGGGTTAAGCCCTCCGCGTGTTTTCCTTCTCTTTAATCTATTCACGAAATAACCCCCACGCCAAGAGAGCAATGTGCACGCCACACATCCATCCTCCGGGGGGGTTGGGAACCACACGCCCAAGACACCTTCTGGGGGACCCACTAGCGGGAGCTCGCAGGCGACCAGGCTCGCACCATCTCCTCCCGCACTCGGCACACACCTGGCGCCCACAACCCAAGGCTCGGCGCCCTAGGGGCGGGACAGCGGCCCCGCCACTACCCCAGAGTGACAACCGGCCAGAGAGCCAAAGACGCCGCCAGGTCCCCATGGCGCGCGGTTCTTCCCGGGACGGAGAGGAAGCCCTAGGCGCCGGGCGCGGGGTGATGACGTCACATGGCAACCCGCGGCTTCCCCTGCCTGGAGAGGAGCCGGATTGGTGTTTCCTCAGCTCAAGAACCCCGTTTGTTTTAATTCTGATCTTCGCCCACTGCACACGCTTGTGCGGCGTTTGAGCAGGTACTCCCGAAGCCTTTTCACATGTAACATTTGGTTTTATTCTTGCAGAGTACACAAGCAGACTTTGGAAATTTTTGTTTTGAAGTTTAGAGAGTGGCTTTATGCCCGGGGTGATCCCAGGGCCTCGTTCGCACTAGCCAAGCACACTGCAAAGGAGACGCATCGCCAGTCCTCCCCTTTTTGTTAATTTAAAAATTGAGATTTATAGAAAGTTTAATAAGATTTACGCCATCCTGACAGAAATTGGAAATGCTGGAACTTGAAGAATACGTTTTCTTTACTGTGTTGTACTGCGTATGTCATTTAAATTCCGCCACTGTTAAAGATTTTTTACATCTCATAGTATTGTATATGGTCGCTCAACGTTGCCACTGTTAAGATGTTTACATCACACACACACACACACACACACACACACACACACACACTCCGTGTGACCTACAATCATACTCTGCACTAAGCTAGTCATCGCTCGTTTGCTTGAGTTGCTGGTGGTCCACAAGAAAAGCGAGGATGCTTTACTAGATTCAAACGGTTTAGCTAAATCAGAAAATAGGGCCAATAAAGAAGCCTATTTGTGAGGAAATTTTAGGGCTAAGCTATTGGTAAAGTTTTTGTGTAGCGTGTTTGAGGCCCTGGGTCAATCATCCGTGAGTGAAAACAGCTGGAGGGAGGGAGGAATTTATACAGCAGGAATTAATAATGTGTACATATAGATTTAGGTACACATCTCTATTTCCAAGGCACATAAAAGAGCAAAAGCAATCACTTTAATAAAAATAGCTCGTAAGCTTATCCAGAAACCAAACCCCGCCACAGATGGCCGGAGATATGGCTACTAGCGGTTTGCCGTCAATAATCTTCGGAAGGTTTCTAGGGAGGGCTTTTATTTCTTTTATTTGCTTATCTGTATTTCTCATATCAAATTCAAAATCATATTATTTTTCTCTGATCTAATTCTTACTTTTCATATCTTGATTATAGGCATAACATCAAAGAATTACCGTAAGGATTAGATATTACTAGTAAAGCGCACTCCATTTCTTAAGCTCTGGGAAAGCCTTCAGCTTCTTCTTTACTCCCTCAAGCTCCTGGCCTTATTGTTTCATTCCTTTTTCTCTACCATAAACTAGGCTTGGCAACTTTAGTTTATCTTCTCTCACATATTCTTTTGTGGCATGTTTTTATTTTAGATTTATTTCCAGCTCAGTTTCTATAAATGATAAGCAAAAAACACAGTTAAAAAAGGAAGCCATAAGAAGACTTCTGCCAAGCAGCCCCAGGCCACACAAGCCAGAATGGGTGAGTGACCCCCCCCCCGCCTACTTGCAGAATTGTACCCCTCCCTGGATTCTGTCCTTTCCTCAAGATCATGACATCCCAACTCATCCCTGACACTGCTCCTTCCGGGTCATACTCCCAACCCGAATGGACTTCTGCTACTGAGATCCAGACCACACCAACCACAACCAATAAGTGACCCACCTGCCAGCAGAACTGTAGCCCGCCCCCGGAGTCAGTCCCCCAGGATCCTTCCCAAGCCCATGCCATCCCAGCACATCCCCGGCCCCTCTGTTGGGCCCTGACCCCAATTCCAGAAGACTGACACCAAGCGAGCCCAAGCCACACAAGCCAGAACTGGTGAGTGACACTCTTTCCAGGAGAACTTTACCGCTCCCTGGATTCTGTCCCATAGAACCCTTCCCCATGCCAACGCCATCTCAGCTGGTCCCTGTCCCTGCTGCTGCCGGGCCCTGCTCATAACCCCAGGGGACTTGTGCCACTGAGATACAGACCACAGCAGCCACAGGTGAGTGACTGTCCTGCCCTGTGGCCCACCCCCTCTGATCTCAGCCATAGCAGCACTGCTGTGCTCTGCCCCCAGCTCTGGGGGAACCCCACCGCTCTGGTGCTCTGGTGCAGCCTTCATCGGTCAACTAGCTGGTGAATGACACCCCCTGCCAGCTGGACTGCCAACACCCCCTGGATTCTAATCCCTCAAGACCCACATGGAAGCCCAGCCCCTCCCACCTCATCATCCTCACCCATCCAGCCCTTGTACAGTCAGTTTGGAAATCAATATTATCATTTCCCAGAAAATTGCTAATTGATCTACCTCAAGTCCCAGCTATACAACTTTTGGGCATATACCCAAAGGATGCTCAGTCATACCACAAGGACACTTGCTAAGCTATGTTTATAGCAGCTGTATTTGTAATAGCCAAAACTTGGAAATAATCTAGGTATTCATCAGCTGAGAATGGATAAAGAAAATATAGTACATTTACACGATGGAGTATTACACAATGAAGTATTGGCATCAGAAAATTTGAAGACAAATGGAAGAAACTAGAAAAAAATCATCCTGAGTGAGGCAACCCAGGCCCAGAAAGACAAACATAGCATATACTCACTCATAAGTGGGTATTAGCTGTAAAGTAAAGGATAACCATGGTACAATCCAGAGAGAGACTCAGAGAAGGTGATAAGGAGGATCCTGGGAAGGAGAAGCAGAAGAGAACTCCTATGTGGTCTGTGGTGGATAGGGATGGGAACTTGAGGGTTTGGATTGGGGTATGGGTGTAGGTGGAGACTACTGAAAAAGATGACTGGAAAGGGGGAGGATTTCGGGGTTAGGTAGAAGCCTGACGCAAGGAAAGCCCCCACAAATCTACAAGGATCACCCCAGATAAGACTCCTAGAAATGGTGGATACATAGCTGAACTCTTGACATCTCGTATGACCAGACTGGTGACTATTTCAATTGTCATCAGAGAGTCTTCATCCAGTAACTGATGGAAACAGATGCAGACAATCACAGCCAAACATTAGCCTGAGTTCAAGGAATCCTGCTGAAGACAGGAAGAAAGGATTACAGGAGCCAGAGGGGTCAAGGACTTCACAAGAAAACCCACAGAAACAACTAACCTGCCTCATAGGAACTCACAGAGACTGAACCAACAACCAGGGAACCTGCAAGTGACCGACCTGGGCTTCTATATGTGTGACATTTATGTAGCTTAGTCTACTTGTGGGACTCCTGACAATGGGAGCAGGTGCTGTCCTTAATGTTTTGGCTGGCTCTTGGAAACCTATTCCTCATACTGGCTTGCCTTGCCCAGCCGTAATACATGAGGATGTGCTTGGTCATATTGCAACTTGATATGCCATGCTTTGTTGATACCCTTTTTCTAACAAAAACAGAGGAGTAGGTTGGGGGGCATACAGAGGAGAGGTATGGGGAGGGAATGGGAAGAAAGGAAGGAGGGGGAACTGCAGTTGTGATGTAAAATTAATTAAATTAATAAAGAAGTTATAAACTGTCACTATAAATAATTCACTAAATAATCAATGCTTACTTATTATAATCAACTATTATGTGCCCAATACTTACACTAGTCTTAGAGTATTCTACATTGCACCAAATATAACAAATGGACTGTTAACCGTCAATATACACCCCATAAATATTTACAGTTTATGTCAATTAAAATAAAAGACATAAAACAAAGTAAAGGCAAGAATTACAAATAATTAAGCAATTTTTCAAGGACAGAGTGACTGGAAGGGGTATAAATGGACAGAAACAAATAAGTGTGAAATGGGACTGAAACATGATCAGATTTGATTTTTAGAAATACTATTATGAGGATGGAACCAGAGTTGTTTTTCTCATATATGGAACCAAATACACACATGACATGAACATCGAAGGGGAATATTGAGGAAAATGTGTAGGACTAGCAAGGGAGGGAAGGGTACATATGAGAGGGTTCTGGTAAGTGAATCTGGTCAAAGTGCATGATATACTTGATGAAAATGGCACTAATGTATTACTGTTCAGTCTATCAACCTTTTAGAAGATGTACAGAGATGTCCATTATTTCCTCAACAACAACCACTGTTCCTCACACGCACACCTATGCTCCCTTCTCAAAATAAACTTTTCCTTACAGCCTGAGAAAGCTAAGTCATTTAGCCCAATTCCCATAATACCTTGCTTGAAGACTGATGGAGAAAAGAATGTGGACCCATCAGAGTTTTATTCCAAAGAACTGGAAAACTCAAATTCAGAAGTGTCGCTGAGTTTAAATTTGCATTTGATACAATAGTGCAGTTATGTGCAGAGATCATGAGAGACGGAGGGAGAACCAGAGCACAGACTCCTAGCAGCTTACAGCTCTAGTCTGGGAAGTGCAGCTTCCCTTTCTGATCTCACATCCTTGAGATGTATTCTCATCCACCAACTTCAATGTCGCTAGGTCTTACTCTATTTTGGGTAGATGATTGTTTGTAACTATGATGAGATGCCTTTTTTAACATCAGGATTCTCCTCTATGTAGTTATTCCACTTCATACAGACCTTCATCAATCTAAAGAAACAATGTGGCATTGTTTTCTGACTCAACAAAATGGAAGAGATAACGATAATTCCCTTGCCTTTGAATGGGAACAGCCCTGGAAAAACAACAGATTTGGAACATCTAAACAATAACACAAAACTAAAACTCACCTTCATTGGGTTACAACTGGTTGCAAGAAGCAGAAAAGTTCACAGTTGTGTTAAGCAAATAGGGATATCCTAATTCTGTCTGAAAAGTTCAGAGGTAGACTCTACGGATCGGAGGAAATGGGTCCACAGTGGCATCATATACCAAACGAATTTTTCTAGTGTCGTCACTTTGGTATCTTCACTTGCATTCCCTCCCAGCCCTAAAGTGTCTACATGCCTGCAGGAATCAAGACCGTGCTTCAAATAGGAAGAGAAGGGTGTGACAGAGGCAAAGTGGTGTGAAACTCTACCTTTTATTTAGGAGAAGTCACTTATGAGTG